AGAGTTTTACAGCACTTGCAGCACAAATTGGTCATATGAGTGCCGAAGATTACAAGTGTCACGACTAGAGAGTAACATAATATGAATTAATAAAAGAGATATATGATGCAGCGTGGTCGAATCAGGCTCTCGTCAATTTTTGGGCATGTAGAGGTATTGGTATCATCTTAAAGCATGTTCACTTGTCTTAATTCGAATGAAAAAAATATCCATTTATCTTGAATGCAAATCGAGATATTTGCGAAAGAAGGAGGTGGGGGCCACCTGTTTTCAGAGGTAAAATTAGTGAGAAAATATCGCCAAAGCTTATTTCCTTAGCTCTTAAGAGTCCGTTGTAACTGAAAAATTATATTTTTGAGCCTTTAATCAAAGATTTTCAGAAAAATCCACTCAGAAATGAGCTCTTTAATGGATATGAAAGGTTTTGAGCCACAAAACAAAAGTTTGATAAAAATTCCCAAACCTGCGGGAAAATGCAAGTTTCTTCAATTTGGTTATTTTGACGAGAGTCTGATTCTACCACGCTGCCTCACATATGAGGACGACAGATGTTTGATAGGAAAAAAGAAGAAATCCTCACCTACGTTTTCAAATGGAGACCTCAACCAGATATTTATCAACAAAACTACACCCCCTTCAAGAACGAGTTCATAATATGAGGACACTTGCTGTTTAATGATTACTCTTTTCACTATTACACGTAGAAGGAGTGAGTTCAATTCCCGTGCTGCTAAGCTATTTTATCGAGTAATACGTCGGTCTACAGGGATAATGTGTCCAGTCAGCCTGGGTTGGCTGGAAGGGGCAAAATAGAAGAATTTAAGCTAGTCTTATTGAATAATCTAAATTGTTTCGATGGGGATATGAAACAGTATACAGTTGATCCTGTGTAAGACGACCACCCATTGTCGAAGAGAAAAGTGGCCGTTTAGTGCAGGTGGCTGTCGTAGGCAGGACTGATCAAGACGAAGATAACAAATCATTTCCTTCGGAGGTCCCAACCGGAGGCTGTCCCACGTTTAGGACTGCCGACTGCCAATAGGCTGATTAAAAATGTTATTTTCTTCTTTTGAAAACAAAGGGGGGAGGGGGGAGGGAGGAGGGGGGAGGAAGAGCTTTCTTCTTGATAGTTGTATCCCTATTAAACCAAGTTACCTTAACAGACAGAGTGAAAGCCCACCTCCTGAACGATATAATTTGATGGATGGGGAGGGGTGGGGTGGGGTGGGGGGGGGGGGGGGGGCTAAAAATAACCTTCACCATATTCAAAACAAATGTTTCATAAAAAAAGAGTATAGAATTATAAAAAACTAGCTGGGCCCCCTTTCGATGAAAGGAATGATCTGTGCAGTAACATCAACTGAAAGCCTTTGGGCTACTATAATTATTTACACTCTACGGTAATGGAACAATAAATCTTGAGAGATGCAACAAATAAGGTCTAGATCTAGATCTATACTCTCAAAACAAAATGCGCCAAGCAAAATATCACTTCCGCCCCGGAGTTTCTAAAATTACAGAGACAGAAGAGTCGGCCTACAAAAGCGATCGACAAAATAAAGAAATTTAGCTTTTTGCAGCAAAACTGTCTCAAAACTGAAAAAACGAAGGGCGTCATGATCTGGAGAATATTTTAAAGAATCTTTTGGCAAAAACCGCATGTTGTTCGATGCAGCCATTAAAAAGCCTTATGAATAGCAAAATTCGGCCACGACAAATAGATAATAGAAGCTTTACTCGTGCAAAGAGCTTAAATACTCACGTGGATACCCGTAATGGGCAGGAGATTCCCAGAAAGCCTTCGTCCAGATCTGGCCCGGGCGTCGTACAGACTTTGGCAACACCCCGTGGGATTCCGGAAATATGATCACCATGTCTGCAGAACCTCTCCATTTGGAATAAAACTTGCACTCACTGTACGGACAACGGGTGAAATCTCTATTTAACAAATTCAGATCCGTCGTCGTGAACCACTTCAGACAGTTAAAACAAGAGATGGTTTTCGTTGACCTACTTTTGTTCCCCGAGATGGCGGCTTTTGGTGTTGTGAGATTGGAGTAAATCACTGGCGTGATGATAAACGGGGATTTGAACTCATGCCCCTCAGTTGATTCAAACCCTAGTTTTCTTAACTCGTCTTCGGCGAATTTTCTCGCTTGAGGTGAAAGTTTTTCCACCCATGAGGATCGTGTTGCCATAGCAGCTATAGACTCGGACGCCGCTGATGTATTCGTCTGCTTGAGGTCTTGGCTGACCAGCATGGAGGACTCCCCAAGAAGTGACACCTGAGTGTTTTGTTTCACTGGAGGACCCACCAGGACCCCGGACAGAAAAGAGTGGACAACGCGAGGGGTCATTCTATTGGTGACGAAGGCGTCGAAGGTGAAAAGCACCAGCGTTGCGGTCAGAAATAAGAAGAGAACAGTTTTCCTAACTGTTGACCACGCCCACTTGTCCGGAACGGGTGTCATCGTGAATTGGCTGGAGAAAAAAAGTTTGTAAAATTTAATCTAGAGCTTTGTGGTAAAACGGGCTATGGAAATGAGATTTGTTATTTGTTTGTTAGAGTAAGTGTTTTTTTAATGTAGGTCTTTTTACGTCCACATCGATACAATTTAGATTATTTAGAAGGCAGAATTCCGACAATGCATGTAAAGGCCAAAAAGAGCTGAGAGGGATAGAGGGATACATCCTAGCAGAAAAACAGAGATACTCGATAACATTTCCTCCCCACCAATGATAGTACATAACAAGATGGGCCACTTTTCTCTTTGAGCCAATTAAAAAAGTGTCCTCAAAATTTGGTGGCGCCCTCTTCACAAAAGCGCACTCTTTGCGAACAGAGTTACCCTACTTGAGTTTTAAAAAATCAAAGTGAAACTAGCAAGTTTTGGGATAAATTTCGGAAGAAC